ATTTCCATCACCACAGAGATCCTTCCTGTTGTTCTTTTATAGACCCTCCCTCCCAACATTCCTCCCCCCTCACCTACTTCTTAACTCTAGGCCCTAGTCTAATTCAAATTAGTCTATTCTCCATTTCTGTAAGTTTTTCATTTCAAGAGTGTTATATAAATAGAACCATACAATATGTAGCCTTTTGGGGCTGGCCTTTTTTCACTCAACCTAATTCTCTGGAGATTCATCTAGATTTCTGTATCAACAATTGGATCCTTTTGACTGTTGTGTAGTATTCCATAGTATGGCTGTTCCACAGTTTAACTGTTCATCCATGGAAAGACATCCAGTTTATTTCTAGTTTGGGCTATTTTGAATAAAGCTGCTATAAATATTCAAGTTTTTGTATGAACGTAATTGTTCATTTCTCTGGGATAAACCCCAGGAGTGCAATTTCTGGCTCACATGGTAACCATATGTTTAGGGGTTTTTTGTTGTTTTTTAAGACATTGCTAAACTGTTTTCCCCCAATGGCTATATCATTTTACATTCCCACTAGCAATATAGGAGTGATCCAGTTTCTCTGCATCTTCTCTAGCATTTGGTATTCTCACTTGTAAATTTTAGCCATTCTGGGATAGGTGTATAGTGGTATCTCATTATAGTTTTCATTTGCATTTTCCTGAAGGCTAATGATGTTGAGTGTCTTTTTGTGTGCTTATTTGCATCTGTCTGTCCTCTTTAGTGAAATCTCCTTTTGTGTCTTTGCCTATTTTCTAACGGGTTTGTTTTCTCACTGTTAAGTTTTGAGAGTTCTTTATGAATTCTAATATTAGTCCTTTGTCAGATATGTGATTTACAAATATTTTTTCCCAGTCCATTGCTTGTTGTTCACTCTTTTACCAGGATTTTCTCAGCATGAAGTTTTTCATTTTGATGATGTATCAGTCTTTCCTTTTATGGATCATACTTTTGGTGTTAAGTCTCAGAACTCTGCTAGTCTTGAAGACTCTCCTGTGTTTTATGTATATTTTTACAATTTAAGTCCATTTTGCATTTGAGTTTTTATTTTGTTCCAAAATTTCCATTTGGTTCTTCCTTATATCTTCTATTTCTGTGCCAAGATTTTCTAGTTCTTTTCTGAGACTTTGCATTTTTTCATGTGTTTCAATTGTATTCATAAGTGCTCATCAAAGCATTTTTATAACAGCTGATTAAAAATCTTTGTCAGATAATTCTGACATGTTGGTTTTATCATCTATTTTTACCTTTTTTCATTTTCCTGGGTTTTGGTATGAGGAGTAATTTTAGATTAAAATCTGAAGATTTGGGGTATTATGAGACTCTAGGTCTTATTTAAGCCTTCAGTTTAACTGGCTTCTTCTGATACCACTCTGGCAGGGGGAGTAGGAGGGTACAATCTCATTACTACCCCACGTGGGAGGTACAAGTCAAGCTTCCCCACTCAAACTCCATGGACACCCAAGGAAAGGGGGACTCCTCATTACTGCTGGTGAGGGTGAGAGGCCTCTGCTTATACTGCTCTGGCTGTGAGAGGGAGGAGTGCCTTATTACTGGTATCCACTGGGTCTCCATGATATCACATGGATGTGGGTAAGCATGGTCTTGTTAGTGAAAGTCCTTACTCTCCACTAGGCCTCCTCTGACACTACCCCAGTGGAAAGGGAGAAAGGTGTCTCCTCACTGCCAGGTGGGGGTGAAAGTCCGGACTCCCTGTGTCTATTACTGCCTGGCAGGGATGAAAGTCCCTGCTCCCTGTTGGCTTGTGACACCACCCCAGTGGGGGTGCTTCATTATAGCCTGGCGGAGGTGGGAGTATAGGCCCCCAACCTGACCTTGGCTGACATGGGTGAGGGTGGGGCCACAATTTTTTTCTGTGGTGTTTGGCCGCTGGAATAAAGCTGTTAAAACCCAGGAAGCTCACAGTCATGTCACTCCTCAGGTCCTGAGTACCCTAGTTGGTCTGCCTTCTCTGTATCTTTCAGAGTCTTCTTCTTCTTCTTTTTTTAAAGATTTTTTTTTATTATTATTTATTTGACAGAGAGAGAGAGACAGTGAGAGAGGGAACACAAGCAGGGGGAGTGGGAGAGGGAGAAGCGGACTCCCCGCTGAGCAGGGAG